CAATCCATCTGAAACTACTGGGAAATCTACCGGCCTATGAAGATTATACACTCCTAGTTTTAATATCACAGATTTACTACTATTTAATTTTGAATTGGAAAATACTTTTTGTACTCCGACACAACGGTTGAAATTTGGTTTTCATGGCCAAGAAACGTATTCGTATCATCGGCGTATCCCGACAAATAAATATGTGGGTACCTGCGCCAGGCACTGGGACCCGAAATCCTTAACTTTTTGTTCAAGTTGTATAAAAAAGGTTCAATTGCAATGCAGTATAGGGCACCAGCGCTGGGGTCACCCTGTTTTAACCCGACTTCTGTAGCAATGGGGGCTGTGAGGTCACTACCCACCGATACCACTAGCGTGAAATCTGTGTGCAACAACTTTACGTACTGGATTAATTTTTCAGGGTATCCAAAATTTTGTAACACTTGATACAGATACTCGTGATTTACTCGATCGTATGCAGCCTCTTGGTCAAGGCTAAAAAGAAGTCCATTGAGCTCACCACTTTGAAATGCATCACGCATGAATGTCAAATTATCAAATATGGACCTCCCTTTCACACCGCATGTCTGCCACGGACCAACGATGGAAGGGAGGGTGGGGTTTAAGCGTGCTTTTAATGCACTTGAAATTATTTTATAATCGGTATTGGTTAACGAGATTGTGCGGTAGTTTTTTAAAGTTTTGGGGTCACCAGCTTTAAAAATTAATGTGGCTACCGAACTTCGACATGATTTTGGAAAAGTTCCTTCTTCACGCGAAAATTCGGCAACTAATGCTAAAATTTTGGAAAATCTACTAGAAAAGGCTTTATAAAACTCAAAAGGTAAACCATCCAGACCTGGGGCTCTACCATTAGGAGATTTCAGAATAGAATCGAAAATCTCCTCTTCTGAGAAATCATGGTTACAGATTTCAGGGCATGCAATTTTAGGCATTCTATCCATAAAATCATTTAAGTTGGATAAATCAACTGAGGAGTGAGAAAACTTGTCCCTAAAAAATGAACCAACGTATTCTAATCGCTCATATGTGGACAAATCCGTCAACGCCTCGCCCACTGTGATCCCATCACGAGCGGTAGCAATTCTCCGGTCAGGAACATCACTGCATACCCCTTCACCGCAGATGGCACCTTCAACACTGTCCATGAAATTTTTAAATATCTCTGAACTAACTACATTTTGGGTGCGAGTCATTTTATTATACGTTGAACGAACTAATCTCTTTATATTCATTTTAGAGTATAAATCGGTTTCCATGGCAACCCGAATAATTTTACTTTTAAGCTTTTCGTAGCTTTCTAATGAAAAATCTGACAATAAAAATTTATCTAATATCGATCCAATGGTAAAAATAAAATCTGAATTTTTAAAAAGTGAAATTGGACATGTCCACAAACATTTACTCTTGTTATTATTCGTTGCCAGGGTTACACAAAAAACTAGGTGGTCGCCAATGAATGGAATAATATTCTGACTGACTAAGTTTTGAATTTGGGAACTATGTATATAGATTCTGTCTAGTCTAGCAGACGTACCATTCATTCGGCTCACAAAAGTAACATCTTTACCATGGGGGCACAAATGACGATATGCATCTACAAAACATTTCGAACTAATAAAATTTTGAAATTCTTTTGCAAACCCTTTCCTACTTTCGCTGCTACCAAATCTGTCTCTATCTAAATCTACTACAAAATTCCAATCCCCGAGTAGGAAGGTGCCATCAAACGTGGGAGCGGCAGCGATCTCTTTTCTTATTATGTGCATAAATTGTTCAGAATCGTTTCTGCGGAAAGGAAAGTGAACATTCATGATCATAAAAGTTTTGGATAAATATTGTATTATAATTTTGCTCATTTTGCCGGGAAAAAGTATATTTTGACTTATAATGGAGCATTTATGGTGAATATAAAATGCTGTACCACTCCCAAAGTGGTACACTCATTGAAAACTGGGGTATAGTTCTGAATATTAATTACTCCATGACGGAAGGGATCTTAATTTGTTTCCTGCAGACAAACTATTCTTGGATTAAATGAAATAATTAGCGATCTAAGGGCTTGTTTTTTAACTGAATTGCCTAGTCCTTGACAATTCAAGGTCCAGATGGTGATTACCATTTTATATTAAAAAAGAATGCCTTAAAACCATCCTGATCCGCTAAAGGGATGGAATTTAATCGACAATAACTTTGCCACTCCGTTTGCCTGTAATTATTATCAAGCAAGGCTTGACATTTTTTAAATTCGGCTGGATCTGATTCCAAAAATTCCCTAATCTGACTCAAAAGTGATGCGTACTTGGTAACCAAGCACTTGTTACTACTTGGTATCGAGCTATGTACCTCAACCAACATCGTTTCAATGTCCTTAGGCACTTTTGTAGTCATAAAAATTTCTTGACCAAGATTTATGTACTTACTTTCGATATTATTATTATCTTCTCTCCGGAGAGAACGTAAAAATAATATAAATCGATCCTTTGTGACAGATTTAATTTCTAAATTTACGCTATTCCACTTATCATAACCCCAATCACTAATTGTCTTGGGTCTTCCTTTAGCCTTTTTGTTACTGGACTGAGAAGATGACCTTTGAGAGGAGTCACCGTCACTTTCAAATACCTCATCAACACTAGATTCTTGTGAATCATTGACTCGTGGACGTTTGAAGGAGGATGTTGAAGTCCTCACTCCAATATCTACAGGAGCGTCATTTTTGCGTGACACTATATTTGAGTTGTTAATTGTTGGGTCAATTGATAATAAAGGTGCCGATCTCTGACCGAGGGACTTCTTAGCCTGGGCGGTGCAGTTCGCACTTACGTGATTTTTTTTCCCACATCGAAAGCATTTTTTTGCCCCAATTTGCACCCTGAGTTTGTAGACCTTGTCACTAACCTTTACATTAATCGAGTCTGGAACCCGAATACCTTTCGGAATTGCTAAATTCAAAATTCTTGTAAAAGAGATTATGTGTGCAAATTCCTCACCGGCCCCAAAAATAGATTGGTGAGAAACTTGACCACGAATTTCACCATATTTGGCGAAAGAATTTATTAAAATTTCGTCCGGAAGGAAAGGTGGAACTCCCCTAACAATTACTCTACGAATGGGATTTGCATACGCATATACTTTGACACTCGCTGCACCAAATTTTATAGTGTCAGCCTTAATAATAACATCAAAAGCAGCTTGATCTATAAACCAAATCGCCCAGTTTGCCGGCCCCAAACTATCAGCATGGGTGATACTCTTGGGGTCGACAAAACGAGCTAGACCCTTTAAAACATCCAAAAGGGACACATCTCTTATACGCCTAAGCACAATTCCATGTGCACTATTAACTGAAAATTGAGAGATTTGACCTTGGGACCCAAGTGCTTGAGAAAAGGACTTACTCTGAGCCAGATCCGGGTTTGTTTCCCCATCAGCTGGACTAGTAAATGAATCCATGAAAACCTCCTCGTCGTCAGGAATCATGATAACTTTCCTCCCCTAAGGGGGAAATACTCTATTTCACTTACACTATGAAAATATGACTTCTATGACAACTGCACCATAAAATTTCTTTTAAAAATTCCACTTAAACAGTAAAATTTATGAATTTAAAATAATAAGATTATGAGCAAAATTAAAACACACGAGCCATCGAGTCTCGCGCCTATGTCATTATGCTAATTGGACCCAGCCTAAATTAAATTCGGTCACAAGGCTAGACTTAAATTCTAAGGTTGCAGCTGGACTTTATGTTTATGGGCTTTGTGTTGTTGTATGCATCATTAGTATAGTCGGCGAATTAGTGTGGTTTCGTGGATACAAGATCTCCAATCTTGTGTTGTATCTTATCTTTTACTCTATCACCTCTTATATTGTATCTCCCATCATGGAAGCACCTGGCGGTATCCGAATGTTTTCATAAGCATTAATGGGTAAAGTCAATCTGAAAAGTTTAATTTAAACCTAAGAGCATGTATGTATCACAGCCTGATGAAAACCATGAAACCTAAGGAATAAAATTTCTCCCGTCAGTTTAAAGTGTATTTTAAATCCCAAAGATTTAAACAAACAGATATATCCGTATGTTAATATTAAAAGCTAATAAATAATATGGTTAACGTGGTTACAATTCATGCAATTACATATTCCATTGACTGATTTTCTACGTGTGCCAATTAGATAAAAAAGGGCATTTGATACAATTGTTCAATTAAAATTGTGATTTATTTCAACTTTTTACTAAAATATAATTCTGAATTAGTGATCAAACAGTTTAATATTTATGTATCACTCCTTAAACAGATTTCGATTATCTCGATCCGTAATCGCATTATCTGTATCCTGTTCACAGACGGACAAATCCTTCGCAATAGTTAGCTGAATCGACTTAATAATTACTTAGATACATTACTCTTGTAGTTACGTAGAGTCTAGACATGTAATAATAATTAAGTTGCATAAATGCAATGTGAGTTTTTCCTCGTCTTATTTTACATACGGGACCGTGCATAAATTATGACACGCGACAGAGGGTTCAAGGCTCCAATAATATTGTGACTACGTATGTATGTGTGACACGTGGGAAAGAGTCTAAGCATCCGTATGGTCTACGTGACATATTAAGATACTTGATGAATGTCCCCTACACATTTTATGTACTACATGCAAATTCTCAACGTCATCTTATTATGCACAATTATTTATCGTTGCATTTGAACAAATCTGCATATCGAGTCGCACGTACTAATTTTCATTTAAATACATAAAAAACCGTACCTACTGATAAAACCATTGTTAACCCCATTTTAAATATGTTTTGATATATGTACTTCTTCGCCTTCCAACGTCACAGTTATTTAACAATTGAACAATTCCAACCTAAAGAAAAAAGTTAGGCACTGTTAAACAACTAAAGTGTGCAAAATATTTCCAGTCTCAGAAATTTGCATAATTGGGATAAATTCCACTCCAAATTCCACTAAAGTCCAATGGATTCGTTTTTTGTCGTCCGTTGTATTCAAAATTTGAAGCTTCTTAACGCCGTCTTAATTTTATACATAATTTCCCAACCTGAATTTTGCCAGTGTGACGATGCCGCGCTAACGCCCGACGACATCGCCACGCTGCCAATTACGATCGCGTCTTACGGGCCGGATGTCGCCCGGGCCAAGAAATACGTCTACTTGTCCGGAGCCGCCTACTGTTTCAACATTCCCGCCTGGAAGTGTCCGTACTGCAAGAAATCGCAAAGTTTTGGGTATGATTTCGACGCGCTGATTGTCAACAAGGAGGCCAACACGCTGGCTTTTATCGCGGTTAACAAGAAGCTCAAAGAGATCGTGGTTTCGTATCGTGGAACGCTAAACATGCAGAATCTGGTGCAGGACATCCATCCTTTCGTTGTAAGCATTGAGGCAGGGTCTAGTCCCCTCGAGAGGGGTAAGAGCAAAGGACCCGAGATGTGGGTCCACACAGGCATGATTAATGCGACTAACTCCCTCTACCCGGAAGTAGTGGAAAAATTGGGAAAGGTGCTGAAAAAGAATGGCGACTTTGATCTGGTGGTGATAGGTGAGTGGTTTTTGTTACGTTGTGTTTTTCAGAGTTATTTGTACACATTTGTAAGACTGGTAAAAATTGGTGGGAGAGTTTGCGAGTTTTTCTAATAATTAGATAAAAAACATTATCATTAAAGTTTGACAACCAAGGTAACGCCTGGCAGAAACCTAATTGGACAAGATTTTGGTCAGGATTAGGATTTTGACCGCAGGTTAAACCACCATATAAATTTACTCCGAAATTTTGGGCATTGGTAATTTTGACCAGTTTAAGGCATTGGTAATTTTGAAAAGTTTAAGGCATTGGTAATTTTGAAAAGTTTAAGGCATTGGTAATTTTGAAAAGTTTTGGACACTAATAATTTTGACAAGTTTTGGATACTAGTAATTTTGACAAGTTTTGGACATTTTGCTCCAATCGATTCCCAAATGATTTTTTTAAATGGGTAAATTGAAACGCTGTTCTCCACAATCAGTTTCTTATATCATTAAGTGTGAACTATGAAGCGTTAAAAAATATTTTTCCCAACAGGACACAGCCTCGGCGCGGCGGAAGCCTCTCTCACCCTTTTCCTTCTAAAAGAAGGACTCGGACTTCCCAAAGATTTTCCAACTCCGAAATCTTACGCGTATTTCGGCTACGGAACTCCCCGGGTGGGAAACAAGGCCTACGCGGACTACTGGAACGCTCAAGCCATGCAAATTACCCGGGTAGTAAATAAGGCGGATTTCGCCGCGTATACGCCCCAAGCTCTGGGTGGGTATGTACATAACGGGAACGAATTGTGGATTATGCCGACCGGAGGGGAAAGAGTGTGCTCCAAGGAGGTCTACGAAGATCCATATTGTGCCAACTCCATGGCCGCCTTGTCGAATGTGCATGACCATTTGCACTATTGGGATGTTCACTTTTTGTCCTGCGCAGGAGCAGATCCGGTCGCCACGGCGAAACAATTCGTCATTGATATGCCTTCATGAGAAGTAATTTGAAGATGTCATGTTTTTTAGTTTTCAGAAAACAATTAAAAATGATTCTGTTCAGAAATACTATTTAAAACAACTAAAATTCTTATAGCCAAACTGTATACTTTTCGCATATGAGAATAAATATTTATGAATGTGCAAGAATAATATTCTGTATTGGGAGTCAATGTGCAGTAATTTATGTGAATATATTGACGAATATTTTCATACATTTATGTATAAATATGTACATATACATTCGGTAAAAGAAGTCTACATATATATGTACATTTATCTCTTCATCTATAATTTTTAGTTTGAGGCAGTATATGAATTAAGCAATAGTAACTATGATTTCACCTAAAAATTATCCTACCTCGAAATTGAGGATTTACATACATATGTACATACATATGTGATTTCATTGGAAAATACATAGGCCTGAAGTCAAATAAGTATGTTTTAAAATTGAAAATATGTATGAAATCCATTAGGGATAATTGCACACTTTTTTTGTACACTCTAAAGATTTTTGTTACCACGTAGGAAAAATTTTATATAAGAAGGAGTAAAACACATATTGATAAACTTGTCCCCTGTTATCTTTTGCACATTATGGTGCGAACATTAAAAGAAGAGTACAAGAATTTTTGAGTACTTGTTAACCTTCATCCCTCCTCAGTGACTTCGTTCGGTTTCAGGAGATCGGAAAATTATAATCAATTTCTTACCTTTAGGTAAGGTTAAATTAATCTCGAAACGTAGGTACATAAACCCATCGCCCTCCGAGGTCACTGAGGAAGTAAAAAAATGTACTCTTAATGTTCGCACCATACTGGTTACACGGTTAACTTGATGGTACATAACATAAATCCATTCCATACTTTTACAGGAAGTTTATAAAAATTATTACTATGGTGATTGATGGAGTCTCACGTTTATGTACACAACCGCACTGGACTGACAATGCGTTACACCGGATTGTTTAGAGTGCAGCAAGATACACGTGTAGATGTATGAACGACATCAATAAATTATTTGCATTTGTGTGTATAAAATTTGATCAAGCAAATTAATAAGCCACATGACATGTAAGTTGTAAATAGATACGTACACGGACTACATACTTACTTGTCTATTTACCTGCATACCTTCTTCTTCCACTGTTGGTTGAACATATATTCCCGTTCAAATAAATAAATCCCTAGCTGGATTGTCTTACAATTAAAAGAGTAGTACTGTTGTCACATAGGATCACTTTAGAAAGGTACAGAATATCCAACAGAATAAATAAGTATGTGGACTTCAAACCTAACACTTTTTGCTGTTCATTTCGCTGCAACAATTTGAAATCTTCCGATGCAAAGGTTCTGAGCATATTAGCATTCCTTGGCTATTAGATAAGTCGGAGTACTGCCAAGTACAGATTGTTTACGACGAAATTGATGACAATATACTTCAACCCGTTAGTTCCTTTAATTTTCGCCCCATCAGTATTATCTCAACGAATGAGTCTGCTAGCTATAGAAGTCCAAGGAAATCTGTCTGGGGCAGGCCCCGATTTTGGGGGGGTCAACCGGGGCAATTGCCCAGGGCGCCAATTTCTGAGGGCGCCGCGAGGCGCCCGAAGGTTTACGAAATGCAAATATTTTCTTTAAATTGCTTTCGGGTCAAAATGTTTTACAAATGTCTAGCTTTTCTTGATGCCTACAGGGGAATATTAATACGCATCCAACGAATTGAGGGTCGACATCTGTACCAAAATGACCACAATGCATGCTTTATTTAACAAACTGAAGTAAATTTCGTGAAAAATTCAGTAAGTTATGGCGATATTTGCGATGAGCGACCATTGGGTTGCAAGTGCGAGAGGTCGGCCGCTGAGCGACCAGATCGAGTAAACACAGGTTCTCTTTAAAGATGAGCAGAATTTTTTCCAAGTTCAAAAAAATTTGCGCAACCCAAAATTATTTCAAAATTTCCAAAAAGTTTACAAAAATGTAGCGCATTTTTAAATTTTTAGATAGTTTTTAAATTATATTTTTAATTCGTACAAATTTTCTGGGTTTGCGCAAGTGTTGTAAGAATCTTACAAGCATTTTCAAGTAATCAAGTTGGGTTGGTGGTAAATCGTCGTCGGAAGTTTGGTAGCGGACAAATCGAGGGAAGAACAACTCACTGGCGGACAAGTAAATAAAGAGGACAAGTCGAAGAAGAATATATGGTATTGTGGAATTGTCTTCTAGCTTTAAAATTTACACTCAAATTAAATTGTGTACAAGATTGTCAAAAATTAGGTTTCTTGTCTTTTTGAAAATTTCCATGCGTTAGTCCATCTACGCTTTAAGCATGGGACATCGCTATATGTTGGAGCAAAAGCAGTTGAACATTTGTGCGATAAGCGCCTGAATAATAAGTTATTCTTTGACTTATCTACAGCGTCGTTATGTCTTTTATCGACATGCGTAACTCTACCTAAGAACTTAAGTTCTTAGGTAAAATGCTAAGTAGCATTTTAATGCAACACGTTTTACAAAGTCATTTAATTCGAGCGTCTGATAATTTTCAACCAGATTCAATAGCCACCGATTTAGTTGAATTTGTACCGTTTAGCTGCGGGAGGGTTGCTAAAAATTTTGACACTCGACCGTGGCGTTACCACGGTCAAGTGTTGCTCACTTGAAAATGCTTCAGTAATCTGTGAGGGATATGAGAGCTTTCACACAAAATTCTGAAACGTCTGTTTCAATTTTCTAGTGAATTATTTGTCCAAGCTCCATTGCTTTTACCCTATTATCCACACTCCAAATAATGCTCTAAAATAAAATTGGATTCGAGGAAAATGTCAGACTACGACACTTTTCGCTCCCACGAGTTACCCTACTACGAGTTGTCCAACTACCACCCTACCCGCCTTCGAGTTATCCAACGATGATTTACCCGTAACCCATCAAGTTTATTTTTGAAATTGAGCAATTTTTCTCAAAATCTCAAATAATTTGCACAACTTCATAAAACTCCATAATTTTAAAGTATGTACTTGCAAAATACTTACAAAACTTGTCCAAATTAAAAAAAAAATATGTAATTTAAAGACATTCAAAAAATTTCAAAAATTTGTCAGATTTTTCGCAAGTTGTTGGAAGTTTTGAAATAATTTGTGTTGTGCAATTTTTTTAATTCGAAAAAATTCTAATAACCTCTGCGGACCACCTGTACTCGACCTGATCACTCAGCGGCCGACATCTCCCGATTTTAACCCGACGTACGCTCGTCACAAATGTCGTCACAACTTGACGAGTAGTGAATTTTACACTGAAATTCCTATCGTTTGTTGAAAAAGTCATGTATTTTGGTCATTTCTGGTATAGGGGTCGACCCTTAGCTCGTTGAACACTTCGGTATTCCATTTTTGGATATATAGATACTGCATACTTGAGGAAATGAAGCATGGACCGGCAAAACTTAGGATTAGTACACGGTGGCGAATAATATAACATTTTTCACTAGGAATATGCATATTTTCTATTGAGAATTCTTTCTTACATATAATTGCATTGCAAAATGAAACTGGTTTGAAATACGTCCTTCTTAAACAAAATGCAAAAACATGCACAAAATAAACATATGTGAAAATAAACAAATAAACATATAATCAGATCTGGTGGGGCGCCAGATTGGTCTTGCCCCGGGTAAAATTTTGCAAGATCGGGCGCTGGTCTGGGGTCTACATAAAATCAGTGGTTCAAAATGCAGAATCAGTTTTATTGTGTATAAGTTTTATTTTCCTGGAAATTTAGCTTTGCCTCAGCCTAACGCCGGAGACTCATGGCTGACGGCATCTCACCATCAATATAAACATGGTTTCCCTGATTTCTCTTCACCACTCATTCACAAAAACGTGTTCACAATTATGGTATCTGCTATTGAAAAATCAAAATTAAGTGAAATCTACTCGTATCCTTACTTCCCCAGAGGTCCAGGTACGGCGATTGGTGAAAATTTTGGGATTTTATTCCTTTCTCGAGATCAGCCCTTCGATCTCTGCGTACAACGTATCGGAATTAGATCCACGACGATTTCGACAATGCAGTGTGAAAAAAGCATAAACGGCAGTATTGTTCAGTTGTTCAGAAATTTACTTTCCACTCCTATCGCATGGAGGCTGAAGGGACTTGAGCTCATTGGAGATAGTAACCAGAAATATTTAGATTTCGGTAAATTAACCTTCCATTCTAACCCATTCAATCGATTGGAAAATGTCTCTGTTTACCAGCATCTATTGCAATCTGTGTTTGGCCACGCTAACGTTAGTCTATATTATCATGCTGAACGGTGGGGTGTCAATTACGGGGCTAGGTTAGGCTTCTCAAACACGCATGATCAATTGGTTGGATTGGACACAATGAGATTTATGGTATTCAGAATTCACGGCTATAAGTTTCTAACTTGTTACTCTGAGACGTTCATATCGTTTAAATTTTACTTATCTCCTTTTCACCCAGTAATATGGGGAATGCTAATTGGTACATTTGTTATTGTTTCAATTGTCTTTACTTTTTTCAAAAAATTAAAAAATAATCCTTCATACAAAGCTTTTTGTCCCTGGTCATTTGTTTTGGCAAATATTTTTGAAGAAAGTGGATATGTCCCAGTGACCCTTGAGAAACACCGTTTTTTTCGATTGATGATTGGCAGCTGGATTTTGATGTCCGTGATACTAACCAATTGCTACGATGGATTCATGATTTCAAGCTTAAATTCTCCACTTCTAAAGACTAACACCCCAGAGACTTTTCAGGATTTGATATGCCAAGAGAAACATATTATCGACAAGTATAAGGAAGGTGGCACTTAACTGATTGGCTTTTCCAGACCAGTGACGAAATGTCTCTACGATTTTTTAATCCAGTTGATTCAAAGTTATGTTACAAAATTTTATCCGAGGATTCCACCCAGTTTCTTACGTTAATTTACTCAAAAATGTGGCATAAATTGGTTGTTCAACACGCGGAGTCAATGCGATGGGCAGAATCTGCTTCACTGGACACTATCATAATCCTCCTTCTGGGAAATGGAAACCCACTCGTCCCTCACAACTTTAAGTATTCTAAAAGTTTTGAGAAGACAATCAAGGATATGTCGCAAATACAAGCAGATACAATTTATGACGAGGTTGTGAAGTGTGGAAAATCCGTTATTATCTTCAACCCTTACGTGATGAGGTCTAAATTTAATGACATGTCTAAGAAATATTTTCCAATAAAATTTTACAAGGGGAAAGACATTTTAAATATTGCCTTGGGTGGCTTGACTTTTGAAGGAGGGGGAAACTCAAAAGTCCCTCAATATTTTCAATCCCTGATTGAATCTGGAATTCAGGCGCGTCTAGATTCGGAGTGGGCGACGAGAGGATATTCCCGAAAGGCGGGGTACACTATGCCGGAACAGGAATACGATAGAGTTCGGCTTGGTGGTGCGATTCTTACTCGGTTCATTTTGTATGGGGTATTGATTGGTTCATCAATGTTGATTTGGATATTGAGTTAAAGAAAAAGTTGTATATTGCAGTTTTATCTGGAGGTAGAACATTTAAGCTGCTTGTATTAAGTATGTGTAAAAAATTTTTGGCACGGTGTAGCTTAATACGGACTGCGGTAACTGAATTATGAATATTAAAAAATAAATTAGGTGCACATAGTTGGACCATAAGTCTCCGTACAAGCATTTCTGGTGATAAATAAGAAGGTATTACAGTGATCAGAAGTCTAGCTGGTCGTGCCTCGGAGAAGATAGTTCAAAATATTCCAAAACAAGCTAAGGACTGTAAATACTTTATTAAGGAATTACATTTAGCTTATTCTAAAATTATAATTGTCATGCAGATTATTTAGTATTTTGCGACATTAATGTACTGCCTTAATTAGGTAATTTTAACATGTTCGTGTGAAATTTTAAATGTGTCTCGTCGTTAAGACGGGCCTATAGGCTAGTATCTACATATATACGTTAAATGCATTGTAATTTTGTCCGTCTCATTTTGCATATGTACGGGAACGTGCATAAATTATGTCACTCGAAGGGGGGTCCAAGGCTCCAGTTATATCGTGCCTACATACGTCCTAGAGGGGGAAGGTGGGTCTAGAAATTCGAGTATTTATGTGAAATAATTTATGCCAGTCCCTTTCACACTTTGCATGCAAATTCTCAACGTCATCTTATTTTGAACAATTATTTATCGCTGCATTTAAACAAATCTGTATCGAGTCGCAGGCATAGATCGGAGTACTTCGGGGCCGGAGTAAGTACTCCGACCTCCCAAAGGCCGGAGTACGCAACTTTATTTGGAGGCCGGAGTACGCGGAGGTCGGAGTACGCGAGATTTGCCGGAGGCCGGAGTACGGAGTACGTGTGGCTGGCCAGAGTACGGAGTACGCGGAGGCCGGAGTACCCAAGATATCCGATCTATGGTCGTAGGTATTAATTTCCTTTTAAATACATAAAAAACCGTACCTACTGATAAAACCATTGTTTCTCCCCGTTATAAGTGTTTTTACATAATTATCCGTCTACCAACGTCAGAGTTCTTTAACAATTGAACAATTCCTACGTATGCCGTTGCTCGTCACGAGGAAAATAGGGCAGTGAGAGGAGACCGTTCTCAACCCATTGTGCTCAGTTATTTGCATAAATTGCATTGTTACAAAGTACTCAAAAATTTGTAAATAGATTTAAATGCACGAATAAAGTTAGCAAAATATTTCTATTCCTTCCAGTCTCAGACATTTACATAACACACCGTAAAATAAAATTGGGATAAATTACTCTTTAAAATTTTATTAAATCGGGTAAAATGGATGCATTTTTTGCCATCCGTTGTTTTACAAATTGGACTAAAAGTTTGAAGCTTCACACCTTCTTAATTTTTACTCTGTGCGTATTTTCCCAACCTCAATTTTCCCACTGTGACGAGGCCATGCTGTCGCCCTCAGATATCGCCACGATTCCAATAACGATCAACTCGTACGGTCCAGATGTCGCCCGAGCCAAGAAATACGTCTATTTGTCCGGGGCCGCCTACTGTTTCAACATTCCCGCCTGGAAATGTCCGTACTGTAAGAAGTCGCAAAGTTTTGGGTATGACTTCGAGTCGCTAATTGTCAACAAGGAGGCCAACACGCTGGCTTTTATCGCGATTAACAAGGAGCTCAAGGAGATCGTGGTTTCGTATCGTGGAACGCTAAATGTCGCGAACGTGGTGCATGATATCCACCCTTCCGTCGTGAGCATTGAGGCGGGTTCCACTTCTCTCGAGAGGGGAAAGAGCAAAGGACCCGAGATGTGGGTCCACACGGGCATGATTAACGCGACTAACTCCCTCTACCCGGAAGTAGTGGAAAAATTGGACAAGCTTTTGAGAAAGCATAACGATTTTGAGTTAGTGGTGATTGGTAAGTTAATTTTGTTGTATTGATGATTCTTTGTACACATTTAAAACACTGGTAAAAATTGGTGGGAGAGTTTACTGTGAAACTTTTTAGCATGATTAAACGATATAAATTTTTGCTATGCCGCTCAGGTTTGATAGTCAGCTTTTAGCTAGGCAGAAACCTGGTTGGACGGGATTCTGATCAAGCGGCTTTAATTAAAGTATTGTCGAAATTTATACAATTTTGGACAATACCAATTTTGACCATGTTTTGACACTTTTTACCGATTTCTAAATAATTTAAAATGGAAAAAGTCCTACTCTGATTTTCATTATCATTTTTCCCTATGATAAATTGCGAATTTTGAAACCTTAAGAACTATTTTTTCCAACAGGTCACAGCCTCGGCGCGTCTGAAGCCTCTCTGACCCTTTTCCTGCTACGAGAAGAACTGGGGCTTCCCAAAGATTTTCCTAAACCGAAATCCTACGCATATTTCGGTTACGGCACTCCCCGCGTGGGAAACCAGGCTTATGCGGACTACTGGAACGCTCAAGCAATGCAAATTACCCGGGTCGTAAATAAGGCGGACTTTGCCGCCTATACGCCCCAAGCTCTGGGTGGGTACGTTCATAACGGGAACGAATTGTGGATCATGCCGACCGGAGGAGAAAGAGTGTGCTCCAAGGAGGTCTACGAAGATCCATATTGTGCGAATTCACTCGCCGGGTTGTCGAATGTGCATGACCATTTGCATTATTGGGATGTCCACTTTTTATCGTGCGCAGGAGCAGATCCGGTCGCCACGGCGAAACAATTCGTCATTGATATGCCTTCATGAGAAGTGATTTGCAGATATCATGTACTTTTTTAGTTTTCAGAGAACAATGAAAAAATTGATTTTGTTGAAGTATGCAATTATAATTCTGATAAATAAACTGTTTACTTTCCGTCTGTGAGAATAAATACTTATGGGAAATATGTGACATGAATATTCTACTTATATTAGGAGACAATGTGGAATAAATAATTTGTCTGAATAGATTTATGTACATCATATATAAGAATATTTACATATATACATGTAATTTTCCAATTTCATGCTAAAGGCAAACTTAATTTTGGCAACATACTTAAGGTTCCCATGGATGCCGCGTTGGCGCGTAATCTCACTCTGCCCCTATCCAATGTATTCAAATGCAATTTCTAAAATGGCATCAACTTCATGAGTGTTGAGATAAATGGGACTTTTGATATTTTAATGTAAAGCTAATTTTTGGTACTACAAAACCTTGGTATTTTGAAAAATTAGAAAATTCATTTTCTATTTTTGTACACTAATTTTTTTCAAAATGAATTTTCTAATTTTTCAAAACACCAAGGTTTTGTAGTACCAAAAATTAGCTTTACATTAAAATATTAAAAGTTGCATTTATCTCAAAACTCATGAAGTTGATTCGATTTTAGAAATTGCATTTGAATACATTGGATAGGGGCAGAGTGAGATTACACGCCAACGCGTCATCCATGGGAACCTTAAACAGTTTCCCATTTACCATTACCAGTGGTTCCTAGAAATTTTGAAACCTTCATACTTTTAAATCGGAATAAGAAACTGTAACCAGTGTAAATACACCCACACATTTATGTACATAATATTCAGTTTCATATTCTCTCTTCGGATCCTTTGCCGTGGTATAGCTCAGGTGTACCTCATCGATTGTTGTAAGTTCATAACTCTTATAAAACTATTGTCCTTCACAAATTGAAGAAAACTCTTCCAATATTTACTTTAACTCTTCACCTCGCCCTTTTCTCTGAAGTTTTTATTCCTTTGTAAACATGGAGTATATGCAATGTAAGGTTGGTTGAATTATACATATGAATGTTCCCTACCATTAATTATTCCAGAGAAAATCCAAACTTACTAAAGGAAACACTTAAGCACAGACATTGTTTAAAAACGTACAATAACTTTAGAATTAGATAAGTAAATCCTTGAAGTTTAACCTTTTTTCGCCCACGAGTCTGGTTTAGACAAATATACGAAAACATATTAATCAAGATAGAAACATGAAGGGGCAAAATATTGAGACACCGACATTTACTGGGTAAAGCGATAGTTGCAGACTAATCAAAAATGTCTACTAGAAGGAAACCTCAACTTATTTGGATAATTATACTTTTCCAAGCAACATCTGCATTCGGAATTCAAATTAAATTTGGCACTGATGAAGAAAGCAAATTCCAAAAGATTGAAATTCCCGATTACTTTAACCCATTTGAAAATTGTACCATCATAGTCAAAATACCAACTAACACTTCAACCACTCAAACTGAACATCTCACCCCAATAATCCTCGAACGGTACGGCTTGAACCACAGAAAGATAACTGAGGACAAATTTTCTATTCAACGACGAAGAAATCCTTCGCCACATTGTTGGGCGTCATTCTCGATTTTTCCTGAATATTATGGAAGACCTGAGTCTGAAGAGTTATATTTCTACAAAATACTTGGATTAGGATCTGACTTTATAGATCCCATCTGGCCTCGTCAATATTTCATTTTCGTGACAACAATCAAGTCAAGGATTCAGCAGTATATGCAAAATATGGGAAATGTTACAGTTCCTCGGTTAGGTTTGAGGGAAGTTATAATCGTGGATACAACTTACGACTTAATTGGCGTATTTCCTTATCTAACGATGCATTACTACAACATGTACTACATTGATAAACCAATATGGGGAATGGAGCCATCTCAACAATGGTACCGGATAGAATGGTTGCCTAAAGAGTGTTTACCTCAAATTGAACTAGTTTCTAGAAATGTGTCAGGGCGAAACAAATATTTTTGGTATGCGATACGAACCGTTGATAAAAAGATATACCATATTCATGAATTGTTTAAAATGGTAGAACAACGAACTATCCCCAACCTGCGGTATCGGTACATCTCAAATTTAACAACTTTTAACGGTTTCGTAGCCTTTTGGGTCTTGGAAGACATGATGAAACACGATTATTCTAATTTCACCCCTTATCACAACATCCCCCCAATTATTCAACTACCAACGTATAACTTTCTTGGGCATACATTTATTCTCGAAGACATACAAAGGTTCAGTTATTTGTCGTGTTATCAAGTAAGGTCGACAAACTCGGTTGTACTATCGGAACTATTGGTACCGTTTGATATGACAGTTTGGCTATGCGCCATGGCCAGCTTAGTCGCAGGCATAGTTCTTTTAACTGCTGCGCTTGACAACTTCATATCAAAGGGGATACTCCTAACAATTGGAATGTGTCTAGAAAATTCCGTATTAGGATATTTATCTTATAACAAACCGACCAAATTTCAAGTTGCTGTGCGTACTCAGATAACAATTCTAGCCTTGCTAGAAGGAACGCTGCTTTCAAATTTCTACAAAACTTACTTCACTATGGAAATGATTGTCCCCAAGATATACAAATCTCCATGGAATGGTGTAATGAATGTCGAAGGGATTAAAATTATAATGCCGTTCTACCTACTGAACAAGACCTTCAATCCGCCAATTTGAGCGAGTATAACCGATATTTATATTTTTATCAGGAAATACTCCTTCGATCAGGTCAACTAGCTGGGCTGGGAGGTGGCTACCCTAGACTGGATAGATACATCAAGTCGGCGAATAATCTGGTCAACAGGCTCAGACCATATTTTGGGATTGGAACTGATGGGAAGGAATATTATAACGGGACCTTTCAATTTTACCCGAATCGAGAATCACGATATAATACGAGCATCATGAACAAATTCCCGATCCAGCCGATCTCCTACCGGGATCATGTTGCACTGATAAAAAATATGTCGACTTGCTCCAAGATGGCGTTAATTGATACGAAAGACCACATTTCAGCGTTAACACCTTTTCTCAACCATAATTCTGACCACATAACGTATCTGAGTGGGCATGATGATATGTACTTTACTGTAATGCGTGGCTGGTCGTTACATCCAGTTCGAGAGAATTATGGAGCAAACCGGCTTAAACTGCTGATGTCATCTGGGATTTTTAAATATTGGAAGACTCTATACAACTTGTGGCATCCGGAGAGGTTGTTTCAACATTATGCTAATTGGACCCAGCCTAAATTAAATTCGGTCACAAGGCTAGACTTAAATTCTAAGGTTGCAGCTGGACTCTATTTTTATGGGATTTGTGTTGTTGTTTGCATCATTAGTATAGTCGTGGAATTAGCGTGGTTTCGTGGATACAAGATCTCCCATCTTGTGTTGTATCTTATCTTGTACTGTATCCCCTCTTATATTGTATATCCCATCATGGAAGTATTTGGAGGTATCTGAATATTTACATATGCATTCATGGGTAAAGTCAATCCGAAAATTTTTATTGATACCTGGAAGTATGTATATCAATGGGATAAAAACCTTAAAACGGTTACTGTTAGCAAAGGAATAAAAAATCTTCCATCAGTTTAACGTGTATTTTTTATTATAAAAATTTAAATAACTAGAAATATTAGTATATGTTGATATTCAAAACTTATAAATAAATGGCTAGATTTCATGCAATTATTCCATTGATTTATTCTTTACGTTTGACAATCAGATTAAAAAGTCGTTTGATACAATTTTCTAACTAACATTTTGCAAAATATAATTCTGAATTGATCTTGAAACAGTTTTGTATCATTCCTCAAACATATTTCTATTATCTCAATCCGTAATCGTGTTATACTGTTCACAGACGGACAGACAGACGGACAAACTCTTCGTAATAAGTATCTGAAGCTACTTAATAATTCCATCCTGTGGTCCCGGATTCATTAAACATACGGTGTTAGGGGGGTTTGGGGTCAAATACTTGAGCAGGTTCTCTTCGAATCCAGCGTACACGGCACATCCATAACCTAGAAGTATATGCACACCCTAAAAAAATCCGGTAATAAATTCTTAACACCGCGTATTACCGTCTGTGTCGTAAGATTACAAAGGATGGGCCACTTAACTTGAGAAATTTTCAAACGCTCACGCGTAAAAACTGGCCCAACTTAAACAAATCCGGCCTACACTGTTTGATAGACAAACCAATTAGGTCAAACTGTGATTTTTTTCTTCTTGAAAATCTGTAAAACGGCTCCTCCCTTATTTTTTTGAGTGGGGGTACTAGTGAAAAAGTTTTCCAGCCAGGGTTGTACCAGAAGTGTTATTAAAAAAGGGTCAATGCACTTGGACATGAAATTTTTTTGGCCTCAATTCATGGAATATTAAGTACAGAAGGCGTTAGAAGGCAAGCAATTAATAAGGTACTGCCTACACCCCCTAAAAAACTCCCCCTATCATTGTGGACGAAAAAGGTAAAAACACAGCTTTACCGTTTGATCAATCAGGAAATCCCAAAGAGAATTCGCAGTATGGGGAAACTACTAAAATCGAATCCCACAACTATTCAAAGAGTTATTAAAAGAGATTTGGACAAGGTGAAACCGAAGCAAACAAAACTACATGAGTTAAACGTGCATCACATCACTAATTTTCACTTTTTTGCAAAAAAGCTGTACAAGAACAACCTTGCTGGAGCTCGGGACGAAAAAGTGGTCACAATCGACGAAGCTTTGTTCAGGGTAGATGACCTGAACGGGACAAGGCAAGTTTGCTGTACGTCGTGGAGAAAATGTACGAATTAGTTACAACTTAAGATGAACTTTGGAAGAGTTTTCAAGACTAGTGGTTAAAAATAATTCTTCAAAAGTGTCTTGAAATGTTTTCGTCAATTAAAAAGCGGTTCAGACTTGTAGCAGAGACTAAGGGGCATCATATGGAGTAAATTAA